GGAAGTGTCACCTCCTTGGACCTATTCGTCATGCATCTGCTGATGCACGATAAAGTGCCATTGGCTTTTTTGATGGCTTCATCACACTGCTGACTCATGTTCATCTTGGAGTCCACTAGGACTCCAAGATCCCTTTCCACTTCCGTGCCACCCAGCAGGTCATTCCCTAGGCTGTAGGTGTGCTGGACATTTTTCCTCCCTAGGTGCAGCACTTTGCATTTCTCCTTGTTGAACTGCATTCTGTTGTTTTCTGCCCACTTGTCCAACCTGTCCAGGTCTGCTTGTAGTTGTTCCCTGCCCTCCGGCGTGTCCACATCTCCCCACAGTTTTGTGTCATCTGCAAACTTGGACAGAGTACACGTCACTCCCTCGTCCAAGTCACTGATGAAGACATTGAAGAGTATCGGTCCAAGGACCGAGCCCTGCGGGACCCCACTGCCCACACCCTTCCAGGTCGAAACCGACCCATCCACCACGACTCTCTGGGTGCGACCCTCCAGCCAATTCGCCACCCACCGGACTGTGTAGTCATCCACGTCACAGCCTCTTAACTTGTTCACCAATATGGGGTGGGATACCGTATCGAAGGCCTTCCTGAAGTCTAAGTATACGACATCCACCCCTCCTCCTGTGTCCAGGCGTTTCGTAAGCTGGTCATAAAAAGAGACTAGATTAGTCAGGCACGATCTGCCTGCTACGAACCCGATGCTAAGATGACCTCCAGAAATGATCCAGGAGGTGGATCCAAGATGGCCACCAGAAATGAGCGAAGGGCTGGATCCAAGTTGGCTGCTCCCATCCTGCTGAGTTGGCTCAGCTGAGATGGCCGCCCTGCCCCACCCCAGTGAAGTTGCCTATCCCAAATGGCTGCCTCACCCCACCCTGGTGAGCTGGCCTATGGTGGCTGCCCTGCCCCGTTGAGCTGGTCCATCCAAGATGGCTGCTTCTCCCCACGATGTTGAGCTGGCCTATCCAAGATGGCTGCCTCACCCCAGTGAGCTGGCCCATCCAAGATGAAACGCTTCTCGGATTGGCTACCCTAACCCAAAGGGGCAGCCAAATTGACTCAGACTAACCCGATCACCTGAGTGTGGGTGGCCATGTTGGAGACCCCCCATCAGCTGCAGCCTCCATCTTGAATGGACGCAAGCGGCCATATTGGGTTCCGCGGCTGGCCACACCTGGGGTCCATCCTGGCTTTCTAGAGGGCGGGGATGGAGCAGGCGTCTGGAACTCTCGCTGCCGCAGCCCAGGCCACCAGCCGCCCTTCCCTGCGTGCGGCGGCCATGTTGGACTCATGCTGCCACGGCCCAGGTTGCTCTCCTCCCTTCCCCAGACGTGGCAGCCATCTTGGATTCACGCTGCCACGGCCCAGGATGCTCTTCCCTGCTGCGGATGCGGCGGCCATCCTGGATTCACATCGCTCCGACCCAGGCTGCCGTCCTCCCTTCCCTGCGTGCAGCAGCCATCTTGGATCCACTAGGTATCCCAGAGTCATCTGGACTTACCTTAAGTCAAGGAGCTGTAGGCAAGTCATAGGATGATGCACATGAGATAAGCCCTTAATTAAGAGTTTATGCAAAGCTCAATTAATCCCAATAGAAGCATCTCGTTCCACCCATCCCTCAGGACACCGGTGCTCTCTGAGGGCCCGGGACGGGGGGAGCCTGGGCTCTCTGCGGAGGGGAGGGCAGGGGAGGGGGCATTGCCGTGCGGGGTGGGGGATTCTGGGAGTCACGATGCCTGGGCTCCCTCATGCGGCTGTAGGGGCTGGGGGATTAGCAGGGGTGGGCCGGGGCACATGGACTCCCTGCGCGTCTCTCCCCACCCTGGCAAGCCGCTCCCATCCTGGCAGCCGGCTCCGGGGCGGCTCCGCGTCACTGCAGCGGCCCAGGAAGGGCCGGGGAGGCGGGGTTGGGTGATGCGCAGCCTCGTTAATCATGCGGCCTAATTGCTTTTCATTAGCAACTGCTTCCTTGACACCTCAGCTCGGGCCTGGACCTGGGGAAAAAAAAGGGAAGACTTGCCCCCCGCCCCCGCCAGACACCCAGGGCCTCTGGGGTGGGGGTGCCTGGACACCTGGGTCCCCTGGAGCAGGGGGGTGCAGGGGGTTCTGGGAGCCTGGGCACCTGGGTTCTCAGGTGGGGTGTGGAAGCCTGGATGCCTGAGCTCCCTGAATGGAGGGGGGGGG